TGTTTATGCTGTTAGCCATTAGCATGAAGGACCACCCTCCATGCTAGGCTTCCAACAACAAGTTATGATTATTATAAGTAGTAAAGGTCATGACATTTTTTTTTTAAGATTTTGCTAGATTTCAACCAAATTTACCAGAATAGTAGATAATTAATACTTAAAATATGATTTTTTTTGTCGTATAAAAATTGATTAGTACTTAAAAGTGCAGTTTTATCAAAGTTTTATATCATTTTGCACTTGAAGTATCAATAACTCAATTAAAGCATGTTTTATAATAATAAGTCTGATACCATAAGACACCTTTAATTTATGATAAATATTCATCCTAAATGCAGGCTTATTATATAAATAAAAGCATTGATTGATGAGTTGAAGTACTAAAATTGAAAGGACAAAGAAAGGGTAAAGTTTAGAAAAGAGATGTTGGTTTAGTCCAAATTGGAATACAATTCAGTCATTAGGCTATATCTGGAGCTGTAAAACTTGAATTTAGGTTTGTTCTATATGGATAAAAAGCTAAGACATAGGCCTAAAACTTTTAATGGAGTCCAAGATTTAAAAATATCGTTTTCAAGTTCAAATTGTAGCAACAATGAAGAAGTCAAAATTTATCCTGTAACCCAAACACTGTTCAATGTTTAGCCCACATCTCGAGTTCTAGAAGTTCAGATAACCTTATTTTTTTATTGGAAAGCTGAGATAATTTTCTAGAACTTTCATAAAGATAATATATTCAAATTCTGATGTTAGTAATGATGTTTTGTTCAGGTAAAAAGATAACGATTGTCACCAAGTCAAGATGTGGTCACCCACTCAACAATTAGTCAACAAATCAATAGTTTCAAATTTTAGCCTATAAGGCATTTGTTATGTATTTAGGTATCTTGGTTTTCAGATCAAGAGCATGTTCTAACCCTCTTTATATTTTTGTAATGCTTAAGATTCAATTTATAATCTGATTGAAACCTTCATTGTGTGTGGTTTCCAGTTGAGTAATAAAAAGAGTTTATACTATACTTGTTTGAAATACTATTAGTAGATCCACTAACTTTGATAATTATTTTATATTTATTTAAATTCTTACATCAATATCACATCTCAAAAATCTTTTTAACTTCTTCTTCTTGTTGTTATTGTTGTTTATAATTTATACAGTTAACCTCCTTGTAATTCGACCTCGGTCTTGCCGAGTTATTTATTATTTCGACATTCCTACACTTGAGAAAATATATTAATCATTTGGTCGTGTCAGTAGAGAATATTTTTTTTCAAATTTTTTTTTTAGAAAAATAATTTGAAATTAACATCAATAATAATTAAAACATGCAAAAACAAGCATAATTGTCCAACGATAGCTCTACGACCACTATTGGGTTCTCAAATATCATCCATGAAGCGAAAACTATAAAATAAAATTATTCATAAGTCTCTAAAATACCATTAGACAGGTTTAGTTGTTTAGAGATTTATTACCTAGAGATCTAATTTTATTTGGCTTTGAATAATTCTTTAGTAGATTGTTGCAAACCACAAGTTGTCCAATTTTTCGACCTCCAACAGTAATCCACACGAATCGCCAATAAAAAATCTTCTAAATCACTATTTAAAAGAGAATGATTGTGTAAACCTAAAGTGCCAACTCTTTATTCTATAAGCTACATGGGGTTATTTTTTTTCCCTAGCAGACAACTAATCTTAAAAAAAATAAGAAGCATAACTTACTATTTATAGGAAAATCTTAAAAACTCTGTAAATTAGCAAAATATCAATTTTTTCTTGGATAATATCCCTATATTAATTCAAGATAATTTCATAAATTAACTCAATCAAGTCCTTACTTGATTTTTCTAGGTCTAGAAATATAATCCTTGTATTAATTATATTCTAGTCCTTAATTTTTAAAATATATTTTAATCAAGTCATACTTAATTAAATCATCCTAGTTTAATTTTTTTACTAATGGTTCTTAATATGTGAGTCTCATTAGGTTCTTAATATAGTATCCTAAATATAAATTTGAATTCTAATTCTAATTCTAATTAAATAGAATTAAATAAATTAAATAATTTAATTTGTTATCAATTCTACAATTGATTAATTTATATTTGAAGATTAGGTGCATCATCACATGATCCTTAAAATATTAAAAAAAGTCATTGGTGGGTTGACCTAACCTTTTAGTGACTAATTTCTCAATGGAACTAACATCCTCTCATTAATAATGTCTTGATTTCACATCAAAACATGAAATATGTCTGTTATGTTAAATCATGTTTATTTTCTACGTTATACTCATTAATTTTTTAAATAAGATTTAAACTCCTTTTAAATCTGATTCTATTTTTGCTAAGAATTTCTCAGTCAATATTATTTAAGAACAGATGAAACATTTTTCCTAATCACCTAGAGTGATGAAACCTCTCTTAATCACTCAAGTACCTTCATATAGTTTATTTTTTTATCCAATGTCTGTTTGTTTGTTACCTTAATTAAGATAACATGTAACAGAATCAAAGTATAAAATTATTTATATAAGATAATTTAGTTATCTTAAAGTTTAAGAATTATTTACACAACTATCATGTTAGTTTTTCCATAGATATAAATGATCTCTCCACATAAAATTTTCATTCGTGTCAATTTAATATACATGTCTTATAATAAGCACCTAAATATTAGTTCTAAGTATTTCTTATATCTTAACTTATAAAAATAATTGCTTCATTTCATAAACAAAAAAATATAATATGTATAAGTCTTTACAACTCTAATAATTTTTAAATTATTTTGATATACTAATATCAAAAATATTTTTATAAAATAAAAAAAATATTATTTTAATATATTTTAAAATCAAAAACATTTTTATAAAACAATCATCCACGCACTGTAACAAAAGAAAGATAATAGGGGCACATATTGAAAAATGGTGAAAATATGGAGCAAAAAGAAAATAAATGAAATGTAGGGTTAAATGCGTAAAAGTAAGAGTAGTATACTGTCTATGTGTTTTGGAGGCTCGTGTCGAAAGACGAATCTCAGTTGGCAAAGAAAAGAAAGAGGAGAAAGGAAAGAAAGTATGAGCTTTTTACTGAAGAATTACTCATCCATCACTTCTCACTACCGATCTCAATCTCAGGTATTTGGGTTTTAGGGTTTACTATTTGGAGTTTGAGCTGTGTTATTTTATTATCCTTTGAATTTATTTGTTCGTTGTTCTTTCAGAAGACACAGGGCGCCTTCTCTCTTTCGCGTCGCGGATTCCATGTTGAACCTGGTCCTCGCGAGCAAGCTGTTAGTCTCTCCCCCTCTTTCTTCTTAATTATTCATATCCCAAATCATTTTTTCCCCTTTAGTTACTTGTAGTAGTATGCAAGCATTGAAGCATTTTTATTAGCAAAATCAGCCCACCTTCTGTTGTCCCCTTTTTTCTTTGGTTGCAAAATGATGAGGCTTCGTTGGTTTTATTCATAAATAAATAAATAAATCGCAACAAGGATTCAATAAAATTTTGGATGAATCTTGTTTTTCCGATCATTTTGCAACTAATTTCTCAATGAGAGCCATAGACATCGCCATTGCTTTGCACTTTTCTGTATGATTTGTTGGGAAAACTTCTAAAGTGCTTTTTATCAGGAATAAAAGCCTACCCTTGTATTTAATCCCCTAAATTGCAGAAAGATAGACCATTTATATTAAATCTGTCGTCTAATTCTTTTATTATCGCTTACATTTTTTAACTTTCATTCACCTTAGAAGTTAATGCCAGTATATATTAAATTGTTTTTACAGCAAACTAACAATACTCTACCCTTCTTTCCTTCACATAAGGTCACGGGTCCTGCAGATTTCTTTCAAATCCTTTATGGTGAAACTAGAAATCAATTTATTGTTCCATGCTCTTGGGGCTTGTCTTAAGCAGTGAAGAGCGAGTTGTAGCCTATAAGCATTCTCTACTTTTCCATTCACAACATAGCCTTAAGGTTTAATTGCTTGAACTTCTTCTAGTCCGCCGAAGCTGAGCTAATGTCATGTTAAAATACTTGACATTCAAAAGGGGTTGCGAAAAGTAAGATTTGTTTTTGGAGAATCAGTCTGTGGGACAGGTACAATCATTTTGTTGCCTGGCTGTTGCAAATAACTTCTTGCCACCAGCTGAGCCTTGTGATTTTGGTTTAAAATGCCTTCTCCAATCTGTAGTGCATGGCACTTTTCTGTTCGTGTGCCTTGATATAATCCATTAGTTCATATGTTGTAAGTCAACGTCTGTCATCTTCTCAACTGCAACTATATGTTCAAGTTTCTGCTGAAAATTTTCAAGGACTTCTTCACCAACTTCTTCTCTATTTCAATTTCACCAACAGCTCTCTATGTGATTTATAATTTCAACAGCCATTCATGAAGAATTTCCAACAAGTTAATTGTCCTCCACTGCTTTCAAATTCTCTTTGCAATGTCTGCATCTCTACAGTGATTTCTTGTCTAATCCGTAAAACTCAAAAGTTTCCCACTTACGTATTGCCTTTTAACTCCAATTGTTCTTGGATGTATTTGCCAGCCATTTTCTGGATTACCCCTAATCCTCCAGCTTTTCCCTTCTCATTTTTCCTTGTATTCCTTTCTTCCATGCTATTGCCCATGATGGCTGTTCTTTGTATCTCTCCTCCACCAATATCTGTAGAATTCCAGTATTCATGGTGATTTTCAGAAGTTGGAATCTGATATGAAGAATACGGTTAAAAAAAAAGGTCTGCACTTTGTGCAGGCATAGAAAGGCTTTCATACTAAATTTGAATGTAGCAGGTGGAAGCAAAGATGGATAATTGATCTTACTGATACTACAACAACTGTCCAAGAGCTAAATGAGTTGTCCCAAAATCCTCCTACTCAATATGGGGCAGTTTTTGTTAATTTTTGACAAACTCATCACTGTTGATACTTCATTTTCAAAACCAATACTTCATTTTCAAAACCAATTTCACAGTCGAGGGAATACAGAGTCATTAAAACCAGGAAACTACCTCCTGCAGTTGTAGAGACGTGAAATTTTCATAGTATAGGAAATAACAAAGTTATGTCCTTATAGAGTCGGTGATAAACTACTGGATATGTACAACTGCTGCGCTTTATCAACTGTTTGAAACCCAATTTCATAGTCTAGGGAATATGCAGAGCCAAAAAACACTAAAGTATCTCCTGCATTTCTAAAAACATGAAAATTCCAAAGTTACCTCTTAACAGGCAATTCTATGTTTAAATAATCAACTGCTAAAAATAACTGAATATGTGATTGTTGAGGTTCATATATGAGTAACATGCTTGTTTGTTTCCTTGCAGCTCCTGGCTGAAGATCCATCTCTTAAGCGATTCAAATCACATAAGAAGAGCGTGTGGAGAGTCAAAAGATTTGGAGATGTTCTGACACTTGTTGTTGTAGCAGGTAATCTGATGCAGCTGGTTTACCTGGAAGAAAATTGCATGTAGTTCTGAAAAATTGTTTTTGGTACAAAACTATATAAAAATACTGGTAATTGGTTAAACCTCATTGGTGGGGGGGTTCTTTGGTGTGCTGCAAGAATTAGACTAGAGGAATTTAAAATAGTTGGATGGTATAGAATTGAAAAAACATGTGGGTGTCAAATTTTTTGCGTGTAAATGTCATTGTTAATTGAAATGATTATCGACTTTTCAAAGAGCACATTTAAACAAAAAGATGAATTGAGCATTTATTAGTGTCAGTGATAGCATGCATGTTCTTTTACCTGTAAAACTGATTAGAACAACTTTAAGCAGCAATATGGAAGCTTCGACTTGGTTGTATGCTCTACTATGCCTCAGTATTTCATATCACGATGACTGGCAATGCAATCTGATAAACTGGAAACTTTGGAGTCTTGTCATGCTCTATGTTTGCTATTTTTTACTATACATGGTTGTATGCTCTACTTTATTTTTGAATAATAATGTGATTGCTTAAATTGAACCAGAGATCCTCTGCACAGTATAGTTTATCTTCCCTGGAATTGCAGTCTTCTACCAAAGCCGTCTCTGTTACAACTGGTAGTATTCTCATACGCTTTTGTACCGTGTTTTTGTTTCAGGCTGTTGCTATGAAATTTATGTCAAAACAGTAATGCGGGAAGAAGCTCGGAAACAGGCAAAGGAAAGTGCATGATTGGGAGTTCAGTGTCTGAAATTTCTGTTTCTGCCAAGAACATCAGATCCTCTTCAATTTTGTCAGTGTCCAATAAGTAGTAACTATCATGATGTGATCGAATGCTTGCCCTCAAAAGCTTCTGTTTTTCGCTCGTGTAATAAAGTTCGTCTTTTGTCATGCCATATTTATAAAATAAGCTTATGGGAAAATTACCCCAGTTGCGTCCTGTTTTTTGGGACCCCGTTGTTATCTGAATGGACATCTGTTTCGTTCCATCCTTCCCCTATTGGAAGATCGAAGCACATAAATTAATGGATTTATTTTATTTTGGTTAAAGCAATCCAATTATGTAGCTTTTTTTTTTCCAGTTCCATCTAAATAATATTATTAGTAAATTTTTCCTGTTCCATCTAAATAATATTATTAGTAAATAAAAAATATTTTAAAATAAAAAGTAATTCTTCTAACCACGCAAACCTCGAACAGCAAGTCAAATTCAGAGATTTTTTAAAGATTCGTTGTTGATTCTGTCAAACAAATGCAAAAAACTTAAAATGGCAAAATCCACAACAAAGCTACAGAACTTCGAGCGTTCCAGTTTTACAACTCGCAAACGAGCTTCAACTAATTGGACTACCAACAGGAAAGTGGTAACCTCCTGCGATTTTGCAATAATTATAGACAATCTTATATCTGAAGATGCTCTTGGTTGTGCATGATCAGTCCACCTATCTTCTGCTAGACCAAAAATTTTCTTCCACTAGAATTTACTGTCTGGGTTAGGATCAAGGTGTATGTTAGAAAATTATGAATAGCCTCCCAGATAGGTTACATGATCAAGACATCACTTGCTTTCAGAGCCCGACTGTACTGATTACCAAAGTTTTGAGCGACGGCCTGAAGACAGAGTTGACAATAAGAAGCCAGCAACGAGAATCAGAAGCCAGGCGTGCAAAAAGAAATTGCGGGTCGAAATTGAGGTAATAAGAGAGTCTTTCCAGTTTCAGATAGCTTATCAATGAAAGTGGACTGGAAATGTGAAAGCAGTTCCATATACAAGTTGTTCACCACATCGAAGACAGACAGGTTTTTGTTGCGAAGAAGCAGGGCAGTGCAAGTATAGCCTCTCATCATCAAGCATGTCTGGACATTTGCGATTGTTTTATATCCTTGTAATGTGAAAATAACACCATCTTTTGACAAGTGTTGTTTATTTTTTTTTTAGATTAATGTAGATGTTCAGGCCAGATTGCGCGCACCACGATTAATCTCACGGGCTCTGAATAGATTAACGTAGATGTTCAGGCCAGCTTGCGCGCACCACGACTAATCCCACGGGCTCTGAAGTTAACGACCATGTAAGTTTCCAGTGACCATCATATGAGCAACCAAGGATTCGAACCTGAGACTACAGAGAAAGCAAACCCCTTAGTCCCAAGTCTTTACCACTTGACCACCACCTAAATGGTTAAGTGTTGTTTATGTTTCATTGCAAAAGTAGATGCTATTAGGTTAAGAAAAGTACACTTTAAAAAATCATGATGTTTGGATAATGTAACATCTAAACACTTGCTTAATTTTATATAGTAAATTTTTATTTTTTTTAAACAACCGAACAACTTGTATTTATAATTTTGAATGGTCAATAACTTATATTTTCAGTTATTTGTTAGAAATTTTAAAAAATTTTTCAAAAATTATGATTTTTGAATAGATATAAAAAAGACAAAGCATTGTTGCTTTAACCAAATATACTTTGTATAAATTGTTGTATAATTTTTTGTTGTATAAATTGTTGTATAAAAAAGACAAAGCATTGTTGCTTTAACCAAAGCATTGTATAATTTTATTCAGAGTAAAAGTCTTTAATAGAATGACTAATTAGAAGTAAGATATTAGGTTGTGATTCATTTATGCATCAATAGAAAAGAAGTTTAACTTGTTTTAGGGTTTAATAAACCTTTTTATTAGATACTAATATTAATGTAGGATTAAAATTACTTGTTTTAATAAGATTTAAATTTTATAATAATATAAATATGGCTACATACAACTATAAACTATGATCAACCCACAAATTCAATTTCAATAAATTTATTTGTCTTTTTTTTTTTCTCTCAAAGGGTTTTTTATGCATTCTTTTATTGTTTTCCTTTATTTGTTGCACTTTAATTAATGTAATTTTCTTGTCTTTTAAGACTCTTGTATTTTCTTTACATTATGATATTTTTAGAATAGAGGGTGCAGGACTTGAAATTCTCATTTTATTTGGTCTAGATAATTATCGTCTCACCATAAATTTAATTATAATAATTTTTTTGACAAAAAAGAAATATAGCATTGCTTCTGCTATATTTCATCTATTTATCAATAAGATATTTTCATATATTTATGATAATGAATAATTATTTTAATAGTGACGTTGATATTTATTCCTTTGAGGATATATGTAGAAAGTTTTATTTGTGAAAAAATCCATTAAAA